AAAAMYTKRAAAAATAATAAAATTACTGACTTATAAAARATACTTTTCCATCAGTTTCAAAAAGCAGTTGGTAAATGTGACCAGAACTGTGACCTTTATGAAACAGAGCTCTCTTGTTTAAAATGTAGCACAGTTTTTCCACCAGAGGTAAATATAAAGTCTTTATATACAAACTTAAATCCTGACAGCTGAAGCATCATTAGTRCTGAAAGATGTGTGTTATGGCAGTGCTGAACTCTGCCTCTCTACTGGGAGATAGGACTTAGTAGGGAGAAGCCTCTCAAAGGATTTCCAAGGCTTCCACCTACTGTTGAATTCTTCACAGCAGCACAAACAAGGATTATATTTGTTATTGGTCAGATTTTGCTGTCACTGTCTGTCAGCATCAAAGCCTGGAAAAGCAGCATCTGCCTCCAAAGGGATTATTATGCCTGAAGCAACCCTTCTCCCTGGAGCTCCAGCAAACAGGAGGGCTGCGGAGGGAGTTGGTGCTTGGATGAACGTGGTCCCAGTGCAGTGAGGTTGCTGATGTGCTTGCTTGCCAGTTCATCTTGAGGTCTTGTRCTGCTGAGTGAGCCTTGGGAGCAGGGGAAATGCCCCTTTGCCTGCCTGGGGATATGTGAAGGCTCTGGAGGGCTCATTTTGTGCATCTGTAAGAGGCAGTTTCCAAGCTGACAGSGGGGTAATCCAGGTCCAAAAGCAAGGCCAGCACTCCCACCCAGGACACCCCTGCACGATGACARACAGACTGGACTGCAGACACCTCTGCTGAGCAAGGAGACAGGCTGACCTCACAGCCCAGGGGATGCAGAGTCTCCCTGTTCTGACCACACAGGAGGCTTTGCTCCTTTTAAGGAGCTCAATTATTCCCCTGTCTCAAGCCAAAGCTGCAGTTCTTGCTCACACTGGTCCTGGAGCAGGACAAGTTTTCCCCAGAAAAATCCCTTTCATCACAACTGGCTGCAGACTTCTGCCCACTCTGTCCACTGTTAGTTCTGTTTCCTGAATATTGGCTGCAACAGTAAAGAAAAGAACTCAAGGAAAGCCAAAAAAACTCRCGTGCAAATACAAATCCAGCAGAGAGACTGAACCTCAGCCTGGATTTTCACCACACAGGGATGGGGCAAAGTCTCACAGGTGGATGTGATCCACGGGAGGGTGCAGCATCTTTGGCACTGGAGGGTCCCACATGCCCAGCCCAAGGCCTCTTTGAAGCYTCATACTTTGTTTTCTCTGCAAATACACTAGAAGTGACCTAACATGCTCCTGCTCCTTTGAATTTAAGCAGCTTTTCTGGTCTTGCCATGTTAGGAAAAAAAAAAAAAAGAGCACAGCTTGGGTTTCTAGGCTGCTGAATGCATTTTGAGCTGTGTAGCCACAGTGGCTATGGTTGGACTATCACCCTGGACCATATCCAAATTGGGATATTGCCAAGTGCCTGAGATCTGGAGAAATTCTTGAAAAAAAATCCCTTCTTTTATGGTATCTCCCATGGGCCCATCACAAGCTGCTTTTCTTCTCAGCAAAAGCTGGTGTTGGAGAGACCCTTTGTTTTTCCTGAGGTCAAGGAAACCACAGAGGGTCAAGCCTGGCCACAAATCCCAACCTGCCTGCCCACCCTGCTGCTGCTTTAGGCAGTGGCAGAAAAGCCAAAGTTCATCCTACTCACGACTGGGAAAAGTGATGACTTTTTCTGTCTTGCTTAAACACCAGAAACTACGTTGTGTTTTTGTGTTGCCAGTGAAGAACCACTCTGGGCAGCCAAGAAGATTGCTTTTTTTTCAATATGGAAAGTCCCTGTCTCAAAGGTGGAGGGTCTCTCTCACCTTCAACCCCTTCATTCCTATGATTCTTTTGCCCCTGAATGCAAGAGGGCATGCTCGTGTCTGGTCTGCCTGCATTGCTGTCATTGCATTTAGGGCCTAAAAGATGAAACCCTAACCAAATACTGAACTTTCAGAAGCTGTGGAATACGTTGCACAAACCACAGAAAACAACTTTGACCAAAAGTTTACTGCTTGTCACTATTTTTTGCTTTTTTCTACTTTTTTTTTTTTTCTTCCTAACCCAGCTCTTCTTCTCTCAATGTGAAATACAGACAGATTTGCACCCTGGGTGCACACTTTCTGGGACTGGTGAAATGGTGTTTGGGTGTTGATAGCAGTGTTTGAGTGAGCTGCTGGTCAGAGAAGTGAATGCTATTTACTATTTATGTTGAGTGTGTCTTAAAAAAAATGGGAAAGGTCACCAGAAGGCTAATGAGCAAAAAAAGGACTTTTTAGAGCAAACTGAAGACTAAAGACTGTGTGAGTTTGATCTAGAGGTGAATGGTTCTGTGTGTGAACAGGGTATTTAGCCATTGTAGTTTTAACCTGCCTCTTCTCCTGTAAGAAGAGGCATCTTGGCCTTTTTTAGAGCTGAAACAAAATCAGATCCATCCTCTGTCACAGTCATYCAGTCCCGCTGAAGTCTGTGAGCATCAGCATTCCCCAGGCTCACGAGGGAATTTCTGTGTGTATCAATCAAACATGCTCAGAGCTGTGCCTCTGTGGAGATGGGGAAGGCTTTATAGGGGATGATGTATCTTCTTATGGGATATTCAGATTTCTATTGCCAGATACAATCTGCTCCCTGAGGATCACCTGATCACTCACAAACTGATCTGTTCTGAGCATCTCCCCTAGAGCTCTATAACCATTGGATTTTATAAGTCTTGGGAGGCACTAATTCTTTTTCAGATACTGTAATGGCCATCAAAATGAGCAAAGTATCCTACCATGTGAATCGTGACCTGAGGATGGGGTTGAAAGGTGTCTGAAGGTTAGAGAAGGAGGAAGAGAACTTAAAAGTGGTGGAATGCATAAGGATGTGTCATATTTTTATTTTTGTAAGTCTGGTTCTCTAAGTGCTTGTAAAGTACTTTACTGTTGTATATGTGGTGATGCAGTAGCTCACAATATCCTTTTATTTTTGTATATTCCTTCCTCCACCATAATCCCTTTTCTGTTCAACTCATAGAGAGTAATTTAAGAAGACAAAATTTATATATCGTAATAAAATGCTCAAACCCTCACGCTGACGTATGCAGAGTTTCCTTCCTCTTCCTAAGCCCTTTGCTTGGTGCCTAATGCCCTTTTCCCATCTGTAAGGAATGTTTCTGGTGTATCCACCCCTTTTTGTGGATTTAGCCCAGCTCCCTGTGGATACGTGGCAGAGTCAGTGCTGTGATGTGCAAACCCTGCTCTGCCCAGGGAAAGCTGAAAAGCCGAGGAGGAACTCGCAGAGGCAGTTTCACCTTTCAGGATTTCCCTGGTTGGCAGTTTGACCATTTCTTCACTCTACATTTCCCTCTTCTGCCTAATCTTGTTCTACCCAGCTATGAAGCTTTGCTGTTTGATGTAGACAACTCCTCTCCCAGCTTTTCCATGGCCTTTGAGGGCAAGAAGAACCAACACAATGCTTATTTCATATCCAGGTATCCCCWTCCTAGTGCAGATTGGGATCCCTCCCATGTCCTGGCTTCCCAAACCACGATGGTGGATGAGCTGCAGTGGGGCT